AGAGAGAGAGAGAGAGAGAGAGAGAGAGAGAGAGAGAGAAAGGGAGAAAGAAAGGGAGAAAGAAAGAAAAAAAGCAGGTGAGACCCTTCAGTAATCCAGCCCCTAAGAGCTTTAGACACAAACCATGCCTGTTGTTTAATGGTTACAGATTTACTTGGTTGCTTTCTACCTAGTTGATCCAACTCAAGAGTCTATTGAAAAAAAACCCTGTTTAAATTAAATCCGCTTAGTCACAGAAATTTTGCAACTTTGCATAACTGAGTGTATCCACAGATGCCTATTAGCTGATTAGGGCTTGAGAAACCTGGGGGGAGAGCCAGATAGACGTGCGGGCTGTTGCTGTGAAATATAGCGTTGGAACATTCCTGGTGGGTGTTGGGGGTTGTCGGATTTTGGTTTCCTTACCTTGAAATTTGAGAGTAGCTTAAGCACCTGAGGATGTGTAAAGAGAGAAAAGTGTGGGTGAGGAAGCTTCAAATTGATTTACCTGCGATCAAGTTAGAAGAAAATTGAATTTAAGAGTGTTTTTGTTTTAATTTTTCCTGAGGAAGTAGGATTGTATCTGGGCGATGGCGTGAGGGAGTCATGGGACAGAGGTTATTCCCCCAAATTATGTAAAATGCTCTGCAATCGCAGCTCCTGGAGCTCCCCCTGCCGGAGACGTGGGATAAATTTGTCTTTTGTGATACACTCTATGCTCTACTCAGTCACCTCATTCTTGATCCCTTTCTTAACTTCTATTTTATACAGGTTTGTATCCCAGGGAGTTCAAACCTACTGCTACGGAACATCTAGTAACCATTACGCCACTAACGGAAACCTCAGCTACTAGAAAAAAAACCAACGATGGATGGAAAAAAGGTTTGTCCGTATTTTCAAATAGTTGCTCTGGAGTTATTGTTATGATGCAACTCTATTTCATAGGACCTGTCCCTGTGAGGAAGCTGTGACAAAGACTGAGAAATGGAAGCTAAGAAGACACAGTCCCTACTCCAGAGGAATTCTCACTTCTAGAATATCTCACAGAAATAATACTGTGGGTTAAAGAAATTAAAGCAATCTAGCAGAGCACATAAAGGATGAATGTGACCCTGGAATGGTGGGCCCCCGAAAGGGACCCAAGAGTGCCGGGGTGCGGAGGGCCTGTGGTGAATCTTTGTGGGGATCAGCCACGGGCCCTGAGTGAATCTTCCCAAGGGGCCTCTGTCCCTTTCATTTTTCAATGGAGCCCATAACACATACCTCACAGTGCTCCTCTAAAGATGAACTAAGAAGATGTATGTAAAATTGCTTAGCTCGGAGCCTGGCACATCATAAGTACCTAATATATGAGGACCATATGCCAACCTGGGTGCTGAGCTAAGGGCGGTCAGGCAGCATTCACTCTCTGGTTATTTCTCTAGAGATAAGATGACTCTACAAGAGTGGGTTGAAAGTAGAAAGAAAGAGAGTCCTTTGTACGTGGGATTTCAGCAGGATACTCCAGATTTAAAATAAAGCCTCCAAGAAGACTTAGAATGGCTACAGAATCATTAGCTAATAGAAACATTGAGAAAATGTACTGGGATTAATGGAAGCAAAAAAATTTTAACAGAGACCAAGGGAGGAAATGTAGGTGAAGTGCTTAGAACTAATTATTAGGCTCTGGGTCCCAATTATACAATCTAATTTTCAAAGTGATTTCCATGTGAAGCCAACATGATGGTGTCAAACCAGAAAGCATTTAAGGGCCAACTGCAGACACACAGAGTGCTACGTGCCATGAATCCTGGGAGTAATGGCTAGCATGGTGGGGCACGGTGCTAAGAGTTTTCATGCATAATTGAATTTGATCCTCGTAGGAATCCAAAGAGATAAGGATTCTAATCAACATTTGCCCAAGAGAATACGAAAGCACAGAGAAATCAAGTAACTTGTCCAAGGCCACCCAACTAGTTCAAAGCTGAAACCCTGCCTGTTCTATTCCAGAGCTCATACACCAACCACTACCATCAACTGTCACAAAGAAAGAGAAGCTAAGCCCCAATTAATTAACCTTTATAAATAACTGCTACGGAATGATCATAGTCTTTGACTATGTGATATAATATAGGGTAATATGTTATTTGTAATAATTAAATTCAAGAAAATCGTGTGGCAGTCGTAGGAAGAGGGCTTCAGGACATAAAATGACATTTGGAGACTCGCGACAAAAGAAATGTGAAGGGCAGATTGATACAAGGGAGATTAACTCTGGCAGAGCATTAAGAGAACTACTAGAAACTTCTGGCAGGAAATTTAGTGGGACAGTTGACAAAAGCTCAGATGAGACACAATAAGGGAAGGGATTCAGCTGGCGCCTGTAGCATAAATCTGGAAAGTTGATAGCAACACTGCTTCTTTGGGGGTTGGACTGAGGTTCATGTGGGGTGATGGCTCCGTTTGTCTCCTCTCTGCTCACCATTTCTACATTAAAAAAAAAATGTACTGCTTCCTGTGGAAGTCATAGGGGCTTCTTCCAATATTCTCTCATACCCTTCCCTTCAGTTAATGAGATAGTTTCCTAATTTCTGACCCATGGAAATTCATAGGGTAGTTGAAAGTAGGTATCGGGATTACTAGTGTTAATACTGACACATTATCGCATAAGTTTTACTAGCCAACTGTTGAAAGTTGAACAATAGCCCCCTAAACACAGTTAAGAAAAAGAAACCCACTGTATAATCTAATTCAAAATGGTATTGTTTTAGACCTGTCCTATGTACTCTGATCTATTTTGAAATTTTGTCTTTATAACAGGAGGTCGAATAAGCCATGTTTTCTCAGAACCAGGTATGTTAATATTTGACATGCAATGACAATCGTTACATTATAAATTATGCCTAAGAAAATAAGAAGTGTCAATTTTAAAAACAAAAGAGTATATGTCAATAACTTTGTTTTCATACAACATCGTAAAGGCAAACAAAATATGCTTTTTTTTAATTAAAATAGGCATTCCTCATTTTTTTCAACATTTTGGAAATAGCAATACATAACTTGATAATAACTTTACTTTTAGGTTAGATTTTTTTTAGCTTTCTCACCAACCATGGTTCCTTAAAAAGTCTAAGGGCTTATAAAACAAGTGAACTTCTCTTATCTGTACTGTAAGGAAAGCAAGGAGCATAAAATCATTTTATTAACTGGCATCATAGCAAGAATAAATATAGACCATTCATGCCTCAATCCTGATTCTTTTCTTGGCCATATGCTACCACTTTGAGGCAATCTTCCCGACCCTTTATAACTGGGGACTGTGTCTTTCCCCCTTAGATGCTGCTGTAAGCCTGGCTTTAGTTCATTTATGTGCTTGTTTACTATTCTGCCTCCCTTCTAAGCGTCCCTTCACACGTGGCCTGTGTCCATACTCCACAAGAAAAAAAAAGGGGGGGATTGTAGAACTGAATCACTATCTCATAAATTAAAGCTAAGCGGAAGGAAGGCTGGGCACTACCAGTGGGAGAAAAAAGTTGTTGTTGTTTTTGTCAATAATGAGACTTTTAAATAGAAATAAGGCAAATAAATAAGCCATTTTACCTTTATGTTTTGCCTTCAGTTCTATTTACTTCATTTGGAAGCACTAAAAATATGCCATGCCTAAGCAAGAGTAACTCTAACTTAAAGTTTGTTTCGTTCCCAACACGTAAAAGGTTTGAAAAATGTTTTTAGTGATTATATTATGGAGTATGCCTAAGGATGCTGTGGAAGGCACAGAAGCTTGGAATATAGGTTACCTGAATTATAGCTACTATTACTTCTAATTAGTTGTCTCGCCTAGGATAAGTAACTTAAATTCATTAGACTTCCTTTTCCTCATTTGTAGACTGCTTATAACAGTTTCATTCTGTTATCCATCCAATATCCTTTTCTACATCAAGACATTATTTTCTGTCATCACTTTGAAACTATTAAAGACTTTGTGGCTTTTCCCATATCGGGGTAACATGTCCACAGAATTGTCATCCAAAATTATGTCTGTGAGGGCCTGGAAAGAACACTTGACTTGGAGTTGGAACCCTTGGGTCTTGGTTCTGTCGGCTGTGTCGCCTTGGACTAAAAACTTGACTACTCAAAGGTTCGGTTTCTGCCTGGTTACTACAAAATCCCTGACATTTCAAAAGATAAAATATACTGAAGTATATTAATATAATAAAAGTATATTAGTTTCTTTCTATAAAAAGGCAAAGTGATATTACCCTGATTTCGCCTGTTTTTATTTATCAATTGATATGTGGTCATTTATTTCACACTTTTGTAATTTTCTGCTCTCTTTTCTCCTAAAGTTATAATAACCATTGTTTTGGCGGTGATAGCTGGTATTGTTGGATTTATACTCCTTGTTGTTTACTTTATTCGTCTCCTGACTAAGGTGAGAATTCAGTTTTTAATTTTGGTGAACATCACTTGGAGAGTTTATTCCTCTGGGTTCAATTAAACTCACAGAGAAACAAAACTGCATGAAACTCCACCTTTTTCAAGTGGACACAGGGAAGTTACTGAGTTACTTTAGTAGAACTTTTTTTTTTTTTTGCATTTTCTCTATAAAGGAAGCCCTAAATATAGATCTACCCCCACTTTCCAATGAAAGATCCTCCAAATTTTTCATCTAACTAAATGTAATATATTTTGATGGCTATGGATGACATAGTCTAGTTTGTAGTTATATATAGTATTTAGTTTATTTAAGTATGAAAAATATTTAAAATAACATGGTATGTTTACATATATTTATAAATCATTTGCTTTTTTCATTCTCGTATTCCCTGAAACAAATTTTTCAAACTTTACCCATGAATTTTCCAGCACGAGTGATTTCATCATTAAATCCATTATAATTTTAAGTCCAAACAAAACCATATTCCAAAGCACATAACCTTTCCTATAACCATCTATTTGTTTCAGATATAACATTTGCACATGTATTTATGATGCTGTAATTGGAACTGTAATCCTAGAGCACTATGTGTCTAATCATGAAAATATGGTATAGTTGAGTAATCTACAATAAATTCTTTGGCCCTTTTCTGACTTTTTAAATTTTACTTCCAGTAGGTGACTAATATAATCATCTAAACCTAAATTGATTATCATGACTCTGTGTAAATGGACCTTCTCTAAATAATAGTTTCTTAATAAAAGTAAAGTAATGGAAAGTATTTGCTCTAATATGAGCGATTATGTAAAGACTTGATTATAACTCCTGTTGTCTGCAGTATAACTACTGAGGAGAAAATATCCCCTTTTGTTTTGTATATATGTGACAAACTGAGTTGTCCTCTCTCTTGGTTGATGATGTAAAGTCTGACAAAGCCAATGAAATAGTTGACAAAATTCGGAGAAATTCTATATGGATGTAGAAGAATTGGGTCGTGGTCAATGTGACTAAAAGATCTTCTTTTTAAAAAAGTTTCCAGGTTAGCTTTTCAGTATAGTAGGGAAATATGAGAGAGTCAATGTTTGGGGTAATAATTCACCTATGGAAATAACAAATACTATTTAGAAATACAATTTTATATCAAGTTTGTAAATATCTATGAAATAATGACTTCTCCCAAAAAAAGGACTCTACAAAGTAAATTTTAACCAAAAGGCAACAAACTTTAGTCAAAAAAAATTCTTTTTAATCTGAGACATTTTTCTTTATAGTGTCTTAAGTTTAGAAAATTGTGACAATATTTTTCTGGTTTTTATTTATAGAAAAGTTCACTTGACATGCAACCTACATTCTCAAATGACGCAGATGATTCTTTAACTTCTGTAGAAGCAGGAAATCCAGGTTGGTGTGAATATTTTGTTGTCTTTTGCCTTTTGGGATGGGAAACAAATTAATGAGTTACTTCTTTCTGAGTTAGGAGGGGTGTATCCAATTAGGATTCATTTATATTCTATTTCATCAGTGCTGTCTCTGTAAGATATATATATATATATATATATATATATATATATATATATATATGTCTGCAGCATAATGAATTCTCCCTCAGGCATAAAATATTTTTTTTAAAAAAAGTAAGACAAATACTGTAAGTAAAGCAAAAACTAAATTCTGTTGTATACTTATATTCCAAACTGGAAAGTCGTGTAAAGGAGACCTTGCAATGGGTATAGTTATAGCCCCAGACCTGGAGCCACACCTGAATTTGAATTTATACTCTAACATTTGGAACCTTGGGCAAGCTACTCATATGGGAATAATGATAGTTAACATAGAGGTAATTTAATATGGCCATAACGATAGTGTCAATCTCATAGAGTTCCATGAGGATTGGATGAGCTACAAGTAAAGCATGTAAAACAGTTCTTAGTCATGGTGAGTGTTCGTGCCTGTTAACTAGTATCTATATTGCAGGACTCCATTCCCAAATGACCTCCCCTGAACAACTGGCCAGTCCCTTGGCCCCTTGTTTTCATTGCCACTTCCAACTGCTAAGTAAATACACAACATGTTGGAGGGCTGTAGGTATATTTTGTTTATCCAGAACAGTATTGACCCATGCAGTGTTTTTTCAAAAGAGCGTTCATTGCCAGTCTTAAAAAGTGGCAGATTTTTACATTAAAAAACATCCAGATATTTGTAGTCTCTTCCAGAAAAAAGTGTGAACGTGAATGATGCTGGAGGCTCCACACCAGAATCAGAGCAACTCATAAGAGCTGAATAGCAGTTGCTACCTTGAATATTTGTTTAAGTATCTACTCAGTTTCGTTTATGTCATTCATTATGGCCTCCTGTAGCACCTTACCAATTGAGTATCTAGTTCCTGTTAAACTTGGTCTGAAACATAAAGTCAAGTGACATCTATTTTGGGAGCTGTCCACCAAGAACAAGCCTCTTTGGCTTTCATGCTCAAGCAAACGAGACCTGACGCTGTCTTCTACAATGTCGATGGAAGTTTTCCCCATATTTATCATAAATGATGACAGAACTGAGGTCCTGTAAATTTCCAGATTCCAGTTTTAATCCTGGACCAAGCTCTTATCTTCAAAGGACCTGCTAGATTTTCTAGACTTCAGAATCATGAAAAATAGAGATTTTTAAAGATCCACCAAAGCTCCACAACCTGTATGCAGGACTTGCCTCATCACATTGTCTTGTGGGTCCTTAAAACTTAAGGATGATACGTAATTATTTAGTCCTCAGAAGTTCATGGTCTGTAGAGTGAATGGCATATACACAATTCTCAGCTGAAAGGATTAATAAAATCCTATCTACAGATATTTAAAATGCCAGAATTTTGAATCATGTACCAGATTCACTTCATTTACTAAGGTTACCATGTTATAGAACTTGCTGCTGGAACAAATATCTGTAACGTACTCATTTTATTTATATTCTACATTGTTCCAAAGAAAAAGTTTTGATGCTGTTTTTAAAATGAAACCATTACCACTCAAAGCCTAATGTTTTGTTACTTAAATTTCTATATATCCTTTTAGCTATTTATTTATTCTGGGGACAAAATTAGTGTTTAGTATTTCCTCTGCCATTTTTTTTTCAATACAAACTTGAGCCTCTCTGTGGACTAGCCCATAAGTTTCGGACAATTTAATCCACCAAAGTGTATTAAAATATCCTTGTCAGTTTAAGTACAACAAACATTTATCAAATACTTATTGTGTGCTGGGCCCCACACTCACATTAAATATACCATTATGACTCTCTGTCCTTTAGAATCTGAGAGTCTAGTAGGGCAAAAAGATAGAATGTGGCCATTGCAGCAAACACCCTTGAAGGTAGCAGAGGCGATAGAATCTGAAAGAGACTGGGGCAGGTAGCAAAGGCTTCTGGAGACATTCTCACCTGGGGCCAGCCTTAAGGGGAAATGGACGTTCTCAGGGCAAGGCAGCTGGGAGGGTGAGCCATGGCATGGAAGAAGACAGCATGTGGTGTACCTGAGGAGTCCTGTGCATTTCCACATTAGCAAGGTTAACGCTTTGGTTCTCTGTTAGTGTCTCAAATATATGTAAAGACAGTGGGAAGTCAGAGGAACCAAATTTTAGGCTCATTTCAGTTCCCCATTCAGTATTTGCACAAATGGAAGTTATTAAATGTGTCTTAGTAAGTTAGTGAAATGGGTTATAAAACCTGATCCCACCTCACAGGAAACGTTGAAAAAACACATAAGATTATTTTAAAACGCTTCCGTCCTGTTCTTACAGAATACTGCTCTGAAGTAATTTACAAACCGAAAGCAGTAAAAGATTATAGTGATCGTGCCATCTCACCAAGAACTAGAGATGCGAGGGTATAAAGGATAAATTGCTTTAACCCCTTTGAACTTGCACATGATTTATGGTTGGTGGGAAATGATAAGAAGTGAAACTGAGTTAGCTGCCCATGGTAGTGGCCACATGCAACTCCACCAGTCCATTTCTCATGGGATAAATCTTGGGATGCACAGCTCCTATGATAACCCAAATAGAAGAAAACTGGGAAAACGCGCATCCACACGCACAAAGGCTCTTCCCATCCTTTCACACACTCTTCAGTAGTAACATCAATCCACCCTTCCACCCAAGAAAGCTGGAGATGAGATCTGATGGAGGAGACGAGTCCAGTGCCCTGCCTCCACATGCTAGAATCAGCGAGGAATTTAGCAGTGACTTTCTGTACAAACTTCTCCTTGTTTATGTCCAAGAAAATAGATTATTCCCAAGAGAGATTACAGACTAGGGAGCTTGCCTTAACCTCAAAACAAGCATATGTTAATTCAACTCACTTATCACTTACTGTCTTCTCATTATATAATCTGCCCCTACAAACGTTGTTAGTTTCTCATCTCTGTAGATACTAGGAGCAGAGCAATTTTATGTTTGTTTCTTACCTAAAGCTTTTAGAATAGATTTTCTAAGAAATTCCGTATCTTTACACATAACTCTAATAGAGATAGTCTAAAAGGAAATTCCTTTCATTTTCTCACAATTATATGCAAGGACAACTCTGTAAGAATGTAAAATTCTAAATGTATGTTATGTATTCATTTCCTATTGTATTTAAATATAACTATGTCTCATACTGTGTTTTTTTGTTTTTTGTTTTTCTATAACCCTTCTGCAGAAAGTAATCAATGAGAATCTGCTCACCAAACCAAAATTTGGAAGAACTAAAAGACACAAAACTTCTGTCAAGTGAAAAATTAACATGTAAATTGGACACACAAATAAATTGTATACCTTCTTAAATTGTACAATTTCAGGATGAAAATTTCATCATAATGAGTCCAGTGGTTCAATGATGGAAAATGTCACTACTCATTAATATTTCAAAATGAAGAACAAATGTTTCTTTTTATGCTTGCTTTTGTGTTAGTATAATTTTTATAGTTATTTGATGTGGAATTCTGATCCAAAACTTTAGTAGGCATCATTCGCAGTTTTTAAAGGCTAACTTATTTTATTCTAGTATTGTATTTTAGTGATTGTACTGTCAGATGAAAAGGCTTGTAACATAATAGATGAAATCTAAGTTCTTCTCATCCTTATCTCCTGAGTCTATTTTCATTGTTTTAAATAAATTGAGGGGACTCTGAAATCCTATCATTTCCTTCATTGATGAATCAGCACGATATGGTATTACATTAATAATGATGATATTTTAGTCATACTGATGAAGCTTGTACTTGGGAAATGCCTTGCACACATATATACATATACACATACATACACATATGCACATATACATAGAATAGACATATAAAATGACACTCACATTCACCATTTAATGCATACATCAATGTAAAAAATTTTCCCACTGAAAAAAGGGAGATGTTACATATGTGTAAATGGCTCATTTAAAATAGTTTGCCTTACAGTACAGCATTAACTTCATCTGGCCACTGACTGATGCTTTGTGTTCCACTGGAAGAGTTATTTACAGAAATAATCAGAATAACCTGAGCAAAAAAAACATCAATGGCTTTTCCCTCCAAAAGAAACTTAACTTTGTAAATGCAACATGATGTGCAAATTTGACATGCAGGTGAATATTTTAATAGGTCACCATTAAATTCTTAAAGTTGTCAATTAAATTCTTTAATCCATCCAGTCCTAGTGTCTCTTATTAATGAAGCTTTGGAAATTGGTTTAAATAATCTAAAAGAAATTTCTAGATATGAGATTAGGGGTTTCTGACTATACAGATGTCACTCATTTACAGTGAAACTTAAAAAGCAATATAAAAACAAAGAAGCACCTTCCTGTGATATTCTATGTCCACATTAATAAAAATCCATATGGCTTCCCATTGCTGTGTGATAATTAAGTGAATATTATGCACATATTTTGGTCTGGCAACTTAAATTTATTTTTTTAATAAATTAAAAAATGTATGTTTTTTATGTTCAGAGAATGTTCTTATACTAAATCGACTATTTAAAATAAAGAATAAAAACAGTACATTTCTGTTGGTATATATTTTTTAAAGTTTTTGGTTTTTTTAAAGATTTTTATTGGGGAATTGAGGGAAGGGAAACAGACAAGTTGCTGCCCTTTTGTTCTTCAGTCTAGTTGTCGAGGACGTTGCTTCACTGGCCCAAGTTGGCACCATCATTGAGCTCTTCCCGGGCGAGGCAGATCAGTCGCCGGCTTCTGGACAGCTGCTCACAGCGGCTGCTGGCCACTCAGCTGGCTGCTGGCTACACACGGTAGCCCATGGCAACTAACTGCAGCAGGGGCTGCAGCCTACGCGGCAGGCGACTCACGGCAGCCTAGCTCCAGGTTGAGCTGTTCAGCATCTTAGCTGTAGAGGGCAGTGTCACTGGCCCTCATATGTGGGATCCAAACTGGGGCCCTCTGGCGTCCCAAGCCAGATCTTAACCAACGTGCCACTCGGCCGGCCTTAAAATAGTTTTAACAGTATTATTGGGTTATTATTTAATCAAACGAATGACCCAAGCACCAAGGCAATTTTAAATGTACTTTTTTCAATAAAATGTTGAACCAAGAGATAACGTGAGACTAAACTTGTCTCTAAAATAATTTACAAGTTTAAGACAATAATTAGAGTGACTGTGCAATCTAGACCAGAGCAAGAGAATTCAGAGACTAATTAAAGTAAGAATTACTTTAACCTTCTTGAACTTTTCTCGTTAATTTCTCTATACTTCTATCTATGGACTTTTCACATTTAAATTTAATGTTTGTAGGAAAAAAAATGACCTTTACTCTCTTCATATTTTTATAATTAAATTTGGCATAAGATTACAGTAAAGAAATCCTACCTATGACGCCACTGTGATCCATGCATGGTTCATGCTGGATTTCTTAAAATTTGGGACTGGAGTGAGGGATGGGAGTGAAGCTGATTAGAAAATTTTATCCTTCATGCCTGGGTGCTTGCTTGTGTAGAGGTGTGAGCAAAGGGTCTCAGAAACAAGGGAGAAAATGAAGGAAGAAAGGTAAGAGACATTGTGAAGAATTTGTGGAGCCATGAAATGACATGGTGAAAAGGGGTATTTTAGTGAGATTAATGGATAGCAAGTAAGAACCTTCTAGTTTATTTTAGGCATTTATCTTATCAAATGCAGCAAATTTCTCACACGAAACTCCTAAGAGCCAAATGTCATTTAAGCAAAAATCAATGCAAAATTCTACCCAGTATCATGCACAGGCCTGTATCATTTATTACCTAACAGTGACCAGAATAGTGACGAGGTCTACCCAGCTTTTGACAGAGGAACAATGGAAGAACCAGTTCCACAGAACACATTTTAAAGGATACAGGAGACATAACTAAAGTTATTTTTCATTGTATACTATGAGTCTTGTTCACACAATACAACCATTATACCGACAGAATAATTAATGGAGCAAAAACATCTCTTAATGAAAACAGATAAGTCACCCCCAAAGTGCAGGGCAGGCTCTAGGGAGGCACGAAACACACTAAGAATGCTTCAGCCTCCCACACCTACTTTCTCCTCCAGCCCCCTGTGAGCCCGGGTGTTTGTCACAACTGTCCGACTTAACAGATCCCACAGGCTCGAGGAGACAAAAATGAACCACAAAAAAATCATGTCATAGAGTCGCATGCCATGACTTCGATGCTAGGAAGTGCAGTGGGATAAAATCCATTGGAATTCTATTCATTTTTCTGTCTTTGGAAGAACCTTTCAAAGGTCAAAGCCAAGTACATAGAGAACAATGGACACTTCTATTTCCTGGGCAAGAGTCTTCACAGTTCTTGCCCATCAGATTCTCTCATTGCTATGGGCCAATGACTGATGTGTATTTCTGCTCAATTCCCCAAATCCGTACCCCAAGTGTCTACTACTAGTCCTCAGAATTGTCATGGGAGATGAAACCCAATATTACTTCTGATTTAAAATAGAAGTAGCACCAATGAGTTCACCACCATTGGCCATGTGACCTTCTATTTTTATTTATTGGTAAAAGAAAACTTAGGTCAATATGAATTATACATCAGGATATCTAGTAGGTAGTAATCTAGTTACTAGACTTTGAAAGTCCCTAATTTATGCAGGATTAAGTAACTTAATTATTTAAAAAATACAAGCTTGAGAGAGCGAAGCCACTGTCTATTTCAATAATGAGTATAGTCTTTCACAATTTTATCAGGAAATTCTAGGAAAACCCCGTATTTGGCATCTATTGGCTGTCTTGGGTAAAACCTGGAAATGTCTTTTTAAGTCTGATTTTTTCATTCTTCTGAAACATTTGCAATCACTAGCTTTGCATCTAAAATAAAGCAAGCACAGATGCCAAACTCCTGAGCACACTTTGACACACACCTCTCATCCGATCTGACTTTTGTCTTATGGTCAACATGACATCAGACTTTCATCCTTTCTTTCAGGTTCAATGATCTGTGGTTGTGTAATAGTGGTCCCAGTTCAGAATTTAGGTGACTCTTGCACTTGCAACATGGAGGTGTTCTTATGTACAGGAGCAGACGGATATACTCCCAAACATAACCCAGAACAGAACATAAGGAATGTGGCTGCTCGTCTCATTCACCGTCCCTACTCTACAGGTTCAAAATCTTGGTATGTGATTCTGGTTCTTTGTTAACTATCTGCTCTGTGGTCAGTAGTGTACTACCTCAGGGAGAAAGAGGGAATGACAAATGGAGTTTTATCGTTCCCAAGAGACTGTGTCTGGTCGACGAGATGGGTTGAGGCCAATTTCATGAAATTTAATGATAATCCTGGAAATCAAAACTTTATGCTTTAGTCGGGGACTAAGTGATGCACCATTCACTTTTTAATAATTGTAGGGCTTAAAAGCTAATACCAAATATCTCATATCATTCCAGGATAGAGCATAGCATGATACTCAAGTTAGAAAATGTGGCAGTACAAGCCGCAAGGAAGCATTCCCCTAGTGAGACAGCCAGGATCTGAGGGTGTCAGCCTATTTCTTGCTGCCCTCTCTTAGATGTCCGCCCCCAACTCCCATTTTAACAATAGCCCCCAACTCCCCCGCCCCATACCACTCACTTCTCGTACTTTGTAAATTTCCTCAAAATAGACTTTCCTCCTCACGTGGCAAGTGGAATAGAGTGGCATAGCCACACAATTTATATTGAGAATACAAACAGTGTCTGAAAAAGGAGCCTGGAATATCACCAGTCCACTCTGCTGGGGCCAAACCTTGAAACACAGAAGGGCCAACCCTGAGTTCCTGATTCTATCTCAAGATACAGGTGCTGATAAAACCAGGGCACCAACAGTCAACGTTATCACCCTGAAGCCTTCTAAAAATGCCGTCTTCACTCCAGACTTGTTCCCAGCTGGCAAGGCTCATGAATGAACAGGACTAGAAATTATAGGTATGGGTCCTAAACGCGGCACCACGTCCCTCTTGGGAGTGTGTGTGGTGTCTTATTTCTGAGCTGCATCACATTACTGGCTTCCCTTCTACTCAGGTTCAGGTCTGTGCCTCAGATGAGAAGCATGATCCACCTGTAAGCAACGTGAACACAGCCCGGCAGTGACTCCCATATACAGGAACACACACATCTAAGCGATCTGCTGAGGTGTGAAGGGCCCTCTGATCAAGCTGAGCTTGACCAAACCTAGAAGCAGATATTGTCCTCTGTACATCAACATGGACACAAGTGTCTGACCTGCTTCCAGCTCAGTGCTGTCCTACAAATGAGAATATACAGGATAAATGAGCTGAGAATTATTTTGACATGGTTTAATGTTAAAAATTGTCTTTCTGGTAAGAGATGACACAATCATTCAAAACCCTTCTGTCACCAAGTCTAGTTCGTTAACCCTTAGTACACCACACCTGTACCTATAAATGCTACCAGATCCTTGAATAACGTTGTTTCGCTTGTTGTAACAATGATGGGATGCAGTAAAAACTGAACTTTGTTTTTACCAATTAGCCTAAAGTTGGTTTCGGTGTAAGCCGCAGAACCTATCGACATTCAGTGAATACTGTATATTAAAACTCACTAGGGAAACCCCCCGTTATCCATCTGCATATCCAAAATTCTTTTTGGATTTTTCTCTGAAATACTATTGAATGACCGTCCTCATCTAAACTAAAAAAAGAGAAAACTCCAAGTTACCCTGAAGTTATGTTAACCTGAAGATACCTGCTAAATAGCTATTGTTTCATTTTGCTTTGGCAAAATGTTTTAAGTGTTTTGTGTGTATGCATGTGCATGACATCACCTTTGAGGATCTCATTAAAATGCAGATTCTAACTCAGCAGGTCTGGCCTGAGGCCTTAGAGTCTGCCCCTCACAGGCTCCCAGGTGAAGGTTTTAGAGCAGATACCTGGAGGCCCAGATTACTGTGATCTCAACTTTCAAAACATACCAGACTCAGGGTGATGGTTTTTCAAGTGAAACTTGCAGTGCTGAGTGATGCCTGAGACATACGCAGAAAACTGGTTTCAGGAAACAGTAAGAGTTGTGTCCACGGTGAGGACATTACACTTCTGATGCCCAGTTCCACCAGTGGTCAGTGGCTGCCTAACCTTGAGCAGGTTCTCAACCTCGGCTGCACGAACCTCAATGCGGAGCCTCTAGTGTTTTGGATATAGATACACTGAAACAGGTTACACCACTGTTATTTTTAAAAGAGCTGCTCCTTCCAGTAAAATGGCAACAGGAATCAGGACAACTGTGTTTTATGCCTGAAGCAAGAGCCGTATTTTGCACTTGATTTGACTTCTTCATCCTTTTTCAGCTTGAGACTGCCCAATGAATTAATCTCCCCCCCCCCCAGACACATCGAACATGAAACGATGTCAAGTGTTAAGGACTGGAGGGCTTCTCAGACATGTTACTGCATCTGAACCTATCGATGACTCGAAGGAGTGTTCTGTCAAAAAAAATAAATACATGTAACAATAGTTTTACGACTGCATAGACAGAATCAAATATTACATAGTTCTGAGAAAAACATTTGAAACCTAC